AATTAGTTATATTTATGCTTTACTTTTGTATCGATCACTATTTTTACAAAAATAATAACAAAAATACTAAGGAACTTTGGATTATTTACCTAACCAGTTCTTTCCTATTTTCTATATATTTTTCACACACACACACACACATATATATATATATATATATATATATATATATATATATATATATATATATATATATATCACTAGACCAGATATTTATAAATTGCAATGTGGATTCTGACGAGAAAAATTGTCTGGCACGACACAGTGAATCAAACATTTCTCGCAGTAGACCTAGCAATTGATTCAATATAATCACCCAATTTTATGCCAGTATAATAGATGAGACCAAGAAAACGCAATTAGTTGCTCTCGTGGAGTTTAGTATCAGCCATGCTTCACCAATCCAATTTGAAGTTGTTTAGAGTCTATAGTACTTTGACAAACAGTCAACGAGACCAGTGGGTATAATCACTTGGAGATTTCTTCTATACTCTATCTATCTATCTATCTATCTATCTATCTATCTATCTATGAGGAGTGTTTTTATTTATCTGTCAATCATACGGTCTTTCCCATGCTTGCACATTCCAGTCGTAGTTAATTAGAACCCGTGCTCACAACAGGACAATTACTGACAGCGGAATTCCACCCTACCTAGAAAGTTATAATTCAAGTCAACCCTGCACCTAGCTTTTTTGATGGTCTTTTGTGGCATTGAAGCCAAAGTCTATTCTGGTATCACCTAGGGGATGAGGATGGGCTGAAAATTTCATAGTCTGACTATAAAGGAATGACGGTAGAGCTGGGTTAGCAGCCCTAGATCGTCAATGATTTAATTTCAACTCTTCTTGTTAATAACTGCATTGTTTATTTCCAGGTAAACTGAGATCTGACTCAATGCCTGTCTATATATCTAAGATGAGGTATTGTAATTATTTACATTGTTCGGAATGTTTTCCTCACTTTATTGCCATATTCAGTTCGAAATTCCAATAACTTGAAGAAGGCTGGAACGTAAAACGACCGAAACGTCGTGAATATGGCAATAACGATGAGGAAAACAGCGCGAACAATGTAAATAATGAGATCTGACTGTTCAAAGAACATTGTTCATCCTATTAGCAAAAAATTCATCAACTGCAGATATGACGCCATCATCACTGTGATACTGTTTTCCCGCCAAATGTTTTTCGTGTTAAGGAAAAGAAACCAGGAGAATAGGTGGTGGGGGATCAACCAGTCCAAAGCCACATTTACATACAAAGAGTCATTGAAACCAAGGACATGTGAGCTGGGATATTTTCCTGATGAAATAAAAAAAACCCTTTTGTCAGTTCTCCTGGATGTTTGCACTTGATGGTCTTCATAACTGCCTCAGCATAGTACTCGCCATTGATGGTGTGGCCCTTTTTGAAGATAGTCAATAAAAACACTGCTTTTGGTATCACAAAAAAATTGAGTCATTCACCTTACCTTACAGATGAAACGGCCTTAAGCTTCTTTGGGGCACGTGAAGCATGGATTGTTTTGTTTTTTTTATATCAAGTTAATGAAAGTTTGCAGTGCTAGAACGAAAAAGGCCCGAACATTGTTGACTCTTATTAGGAAAATGAAAGATTGCAATGTTGAAGATTTTACCAAAAAATCGATTAAATTGATATGTATAATGCCGAATTAGAATATGTAACGCTTACATATGCAGAAAAATGCCTCACTGGCATATGACATTGCTCCGGGCAATAAAACCTGCCCCAAGTTAATTTTAAATGTTAACTTTAATGTCGCTAAAACGAAAGAGCTTTCTTTCATCGTCTTAAAGAACCCTTTATGATTCCTATCAGCATGGCTGGTACTAACCTCCAGGAGAGGGTCTCATTGCATCTTCTCGGACTAATATTTTCTGCTGACATGAACTAGAAAGATTATATTGAATCAATTGCTCTGTCTTGTTGCTAGGATATTTGGCTTACTGTGTCGGGCTAGACAATTTTCCTCGCCATCTATTTTACACATGTATACGTTCGTACATTGAATATTGCTGCCACATTTGATCTAGTACTTCTGCTATGTATTTAGAAATCAAAAGCTGAATCTGCAGTGTTACTGGTCTTGACCTGGCATCTCAGCTTCAGTCACTTTCCCACCCGCGTAAAGTAACTCCGCTTAATAGTTCGATAAATATATTCATGGCTATTGTTCCGATAAACATTCAAATTTGGTACCTAAACTTTATGAATTTAAGCGCAGTAACAGATTGGCAACAAGGTCTAAGCATTTTAGAATTGAAAAGGCTAGATGCAACCGTAAGTTCTATGCTAACAGTTTCTTCTCTCTCACGTCTCGCTTATGAAAGTCTCTTCTATCTTGCATTCCTGTCAAATTTGATCTTCAAAATTTTAAATGCAATGTCAATCGTCATCATCTCTCTTCTTAATCCCTGTTCTTTTATTGTTCTCTCGCCTTAATAATTTTTTCCTCGTATTTTCTCACAGTCAGTAATCCCTTAGTGACTTTATTGCCTTTATTGGGGTGAAATGGTTAAAGAAATTCAGCCCCAAATTAACATCATATTATTTTATCATCTTTTTCTACTTCATTAACCAAGCCTAATCCTGATTAGGAAATATTAAAATAAAAATGGCGGTATTTTCAATTTTCTTTGAAAACCGAGCGGGTTTTTCTTTTTTAACTTAATTAGTCGATTAGCACAAAACAGACGAAAACTTTTTAAATATGACTTACGTTTGAATAAGGAAGCTGTTATGTATTAATTAGATCTCACCTAACAAGTAGATTAGCCAATCGCTTGTGAGAAGCTAACAATTTAAAAAAAAAAATCATAACGCAGCAGAAACTGGTTAAGAAAAGTGTTTTTCGTAAATATCATTGCCTGCTGTATTCGTTTAAACGGGGTTAGCTGGTTACTGAGTCAGAAATTTCTTCGTCGAAGTGTTAACAACATAAATGCAATATAGATAGATAGATAGATAGATAGATAGATAGATAGATAGATAGATAAGCTAGGACATATAGACCAAGATAGAAAAGGTCAGGCTTAGATAGATAGATAGATAGATAGATAGGAGATAGATAGATAGATAGATAGATAGATAGATAATGATGAAACTGAGATAGATAGATAGATAGATAGATAGATAGATAGATAGATAGATAGATAGATAGATAGATAGATAGATAGATAATGATGAAACTGCGATAGATAGATAGATAGATAGATAGATAGATAGAATAGACTTTTTACGAAACGGAAGATTGTTTTGCACCAAACCTGGATAGATGAATCAAACAACAGCTACTTTTTGCCATTGAAACATATAGACCAAGATAGAAAAAGGCAGGCTTAGATAGATAGATAGATAGATAGATAGATAGATAGATAGATAGATAGATAGATTGAAGAAATAAGCTAGACATATAGACCAAGATAGAAAAAAAGGTTTAGATAGATAGATAGATAGAATGAATAAATAAGCTAGGATATAGACCAAGATAGAAAAGGGCGAACTTAGATAGATAGATAGATAGATAGATAGATAGATAGATAATGAAGAAATAGATAGATAGATAGATAGATAATGATGAAACTGCGATAGATAGATAGATAGATAGATAGATAGATAGATAGATAGATAGATAGATAATGAGAAATGAGATGATAGATAGATAGATAGATAGAAGATAGATAGATAGATAGTAGTGAACATCAAGAGATACTTTTTTACGAAACGGAAGATTGTTTTGCACCAAACCTGCAAGTGCAAAGCATGCTAGACTTGAAAATCTACATTTGAATTCCTTCTTTTTCTGTGCTCAAACAACAGCTACTTTTTGCCATTGCGAAATAAACAATTTTCCCCGGACATATAGACCAAGATAGAAAAAGGCAGGCTTAGATAGATAGATAGATAGATAGATAGATAGATAGATAGATAGATAGATAGATGATAGATAAATAGATTGAATATAGACCAAGATAGAAAAGGCAGGCTTAGACATATAGACCAAGATAGAAAAAGGCAGGCTTAGATAGATAGATAGATAGAATGAAGTAAATAAGCTAGGACATATAGACCAAGATAGAAAAGGGCAGGCTTAGATAGATAGATAGATAGATAGATAGATAGATAGATAGATAGATAGATAGATAATGAAGAAACTGAGATAGATAGATAGATAGATAATGATGAAACTGCGATAGATAGATAGATAGATAGATAGATAGATAGATAGATAGATAGATAATGATGAAACTGAGATAGATAGATAGATAGATAGATAGATAGATAGATAGATAGATAGATAGTAGTGAACATCAAGAGATACTTTTTTACGAAAAGGAAGATTGTTTTGCACCAAACCTGCAAGTGCAAAGCATGCTAGACTTGAAAATCTACATTTGAATTCCTTCTTTTTCTGTGCTCAAACAACAGCTACTTTTTGCCATTGCGAAATAAACAATTTTCCCGGACATATAGACCAAGATAGAAAAGGCAGGCTTAGATAGATATAGATAGATAGATAGATAGATAGATAGATAGATAGATAGATAGATAAATAAGCTGGGACATATAGACCAAGATAGAAAACCAAGATAGATAGAAAAGGCTAGGACATTAGATGAAAGATAGATAGATAGATAGATAGATAGATAGATAGATAGATAAGATAGATAGATAATGATAATGATGAAACTGCGATAGATAGATAGATAGATAGATAGATAGATAGATAGATAGATAGATAGATGAGATAGATAGATAGATAGATAGATAGATAGATAGATAGTAGTGAACGTCAAGAGATACTTTTTACGAAAAGGAAGATTGTTTTGCACCAAACCTGCAAGTGCAAAAGCATGCTAGACTTGAAAATCTACATTTGAATTCCTTCTTTTCTGTGCTCAAACAACAGCTACTTTTTGCCATTGCGAAATAAACAATTTTCCCCGGACATATAGACCAAGATAGAAAAAGGCAGGCTTAGATAGATAGATAGATAGATAGATAGATAGATAGATAGATAGATAGATAGATAGATAGATAGATAGATTGAAGTAAATAAGCTAGGACATATAGACCAAGATAGAAAAAGGCAGGCTTAGATAGATAGATAGATAGATAGATAGATAGATAGATAGAATGAAGTAAATAAGCTAGGACATATAGACCAAGATAGAAAAGGGCAGGCTTAGATAGATAGATAGATAGATAGATAGATAGATAGATAGATAGATAGATAATGAAGAAACTGAGATAGATAGATAGATAGATAATGATGAAACTGCGATAGATAGATAGATAGATAGATAGATAGATAGATAATGATGAAACTGAGATAGATAGATAGATAGATAGATAGATAGATAGATAGATAGATAGATAGTAGTGAACGTCAAGAGATACTTTTTTACGAAAAGGAAGATTGTTTTGCACCAAACCTGCAAGTGCAAAGCATGCTAGACTTGAAAATCTACATTTGAATTCCTTCTTTTTCTGTACTCAAACAACAGCTACTTTTTGCCATTGCGAAATAAACAATTTTCCCCGGACATATAGACCAAGATAGAAAAAGGCAGGCTTAGATAGATAGATAGATAGATAGATAGATAGATAGATAGATAGATAGAATGAAGTAAATAAGCTAGGACATATAGACCAAGATAGAAAAAGGCAGGCTTAGATAGATAGATAGATAGATAGATAGATAGATAGATAGATAGATAGATAGATAGATGATAGAATGAAGAAACGGAGATAGATAGATAGATAGATAGATAGATAGATAGATAGATAGATAGATAGATAGATAATGAAGAAACTGAGATAGATAGATAGATAGATAGATAGATAGATAGATAGATAGATAGATAGATAATGATGAAACTGCGATAGATAGATAGATAGATAGATAGATAGATAGATAGATAGATAGATAGATAGATAATGATGAAACTGAGATATATAGATAGATAGATAGTAGTGAACGTCAAGAGATACTTTTTTACGAAACGGAAGATTGTTTTGCACCAAACCTGCAAGTGCAAAGCATGCTAGACTTGAAAATCTACATTTGAATTCCTTCTTTTTCTGTGCTCAAACAACAGCTACTTTTTGCCATTGCGAAATAAACAATTTTCCCCGGACATATAGACCAAGATAGAAAAAGGCAGGCTTAGATAGATAGATAGATAGATAGATAGATAGATAGATAGATAGATAGATAGATAGATAAGCTAGGACATATAGACCAAGATAGAAAAAGGCAGGCTTAGATAGATAGATAGATAGATAGATAGATAGATAGATAGATAGATAGATAGATAGAATGAAGTAAAAAAGCTAGGACATATAGACCAAGATAGAAAAAGGCAGGCTTAGATAGATAGATAGATAGATAGATAAGCTAGGACATATAGACCAAGATAGAAAAAGGCAGGCTTAGATAGATAGATAGATAGATAGATAGATAGATAGATAGATAGATAGACTGTGGACATAAAAACAAACATTGAAATATACTCAGTGGTAACTGATCTAGAGAGCCTAGCTTGTACTGTTTATACCGGCAGTTTTCTTTTTTTTTTTTATTTGCCCAACCTTCCCACAAAGGTAGGATGTGACACAAGGCCGTTTTTAATATGGGCCCAGGAGAAAAACTGCTTAATCGCTGCGATCACAGACACGCTGTTGCTGAGATGTCACCGACACCACCTCACTTTGAGGAAGGTCCTGCTGCAGGATAACTGATACAACTTTTGTCAGTGTTTATCGGTTGCAAATAAATAAATGTTATATGGACCAAAAGCGTGTCAGAAGAGTCGAAGTAAAACAAGAATCGGTGAGGCGAAAAAAACGGGAGAGAAAAAAAAATTGTAGAGAAAAAAAAGAGTGGATCTGAACCAGATTCAATATAAGCGCGCATAAGCCCTGTTATTTTAATGCGCTTAAATTGCTTTGTTATTTTCTCCAATCTACTCTGTCCCTCTCTTGCATCTCAACTCAAAGCCCCTTTTTGCCTCTAATTAAGCCTGCTCGGTGAGGTGTGCATGTTTGCCTATACACGAACAGAAAGGTACAAAACCGCGTCCATATAGGCGCCGAGGTTCGCAATGCGACAGAAAATATCCAATCAGTAGCTCTGACGGGGCAACAATAGTAAAGTATGGAAATGAAGGTGAAAAAAGGGAGTGACGAATAACGAAACGTGTTTTATCGGTGATTCCTGGAGGGAAGAAACAGGGTATATATATATATATATATATATATATATATATATATATATATATATATATATATATATATATATAAATCAGATAAACTAATAATGAGGTAATAATGCGACATACAAAGAGAATCGTTTTGTTATACACACACACACATATATATATAAAAAGAAAAAAGTATGAAAAGGAATAATGAGAAAGTATAGGGAGACAAAAAATTAAGAAAAGGGAAAAATAACTTTAATATTCTGTATATGTGAGGGTCTGTGCATAGGCGTGCACTTACACTCGCGTATACACACAGACACACAAACAGACACGCGTAGACAAAGGAGAAAAAACAATCTAAAACCGATAAAAAGCACATAAATTATTTTTAACTTAATATAAAAATAATGAAATCGATAAAATAGGCAGACAATTGCTGATGCCTCCTGACGAATGGACCGAATGATTACGAAAAGTTTGTACAAAATTCTGGACTCGGAGTGCTTAATATAACATCAATCATATTTATATATATATATATATATATATATATATATATATATATATATATATATATATATATATGTATGTGTGTGTGTGTGTGTGTGTGTACTAAGATGAATTATATATCTCCTCCTCGCCACTCAATGCTACTTAAAGTTTCATTCACTGAGCGATCGCCAAGCACAAATTAAATTTTAATCTGTGCCTGACGATTGTTATTTGAATGAGGTAGTGATCTAATTTTTCTTAATATAAAGTTCTACTCTCTTATTTTACATCGAATACAGTTTCATTATTACTAACAGCACTCGCGATATGCTATCATAAATGTAACAAAGAATGTGTTTGCCACAAATCGGTCGACCATAGTATTTCTGGAATATAATGACTTATAGCTGTCTTTGTAATTACAGCTGTCTTTGTAATTACCCTGCTCAATATCAAGGGCTCAATCAATAATAATGATAATGTTCACTAACTGAAACGGTCATTGAGAAGATAAAAATACTGGACGATTGCGAAAATAGGATCTATTAATAGAAAGTCACTGTAAGCAGGATTTGTACAAGAAACCGAAGAGATAGCACCCCATGAAATGTGACGCTGACCTGGAATTTTTTTGAAGAAGAAGAAGAAGAAAACCGAAGACATGATTTGTGCTTTGTTAAAACAGGCTTTGAGAACAAATTCCATCAAGTACTCTATTTATGAAGCAGCGACTGAAAATCTACAACACCTTATTAGTGGCTGCACTCACGTCAGCTAAAAGATGACGGCACCATGTCAAATTTAGAACCGAGAATATATTGGGAACGAAACAGCAAGTATGTCATCGAGTGGACAGAGAACTGATTCGAGCATCTACCTCCGAGAATGAGTAAATTAAGCTCATGTGGAACAACAACAACTATCTGACTGATAAGCGCTTGGAGAGTAATCGCCCTGACATCACACTTAGGTTGGGATAAGAAAACCGTGAAGAGATATCAAGACCTGGCAGGAGAAATCGGAGAAACTTACCAAGTAGCAGCACAAGTTGTCCCTTTTGAGATTAGGTCACTTGGGATTAATTCCAAAATAATTCTACCACGCAGCAAGCCTTGGGGATGCTTGATATTTCTGGGAGTAATTCTAAGGCAGCCCTAAGCTGCGGGTAGGAATTGAGATACTACCCTCATCACCCGACCGAAACAGTTAATAGTTTGAGTGGAAACTGAGATCAACACCGAATGGCGAACACAATCTTCATGTCATGTGTGGTGTGCTTTGTCTAGTCTATTTATATAAGCTGTTCAGTTGTGCACTAAGATTAGTTTTTTTATGCCAACGAACAGTCATTGCCACTTTTGCGATGTCAACGAATACTCGTTGTCACTTTCGTAAAGCTCGTTATAGTAGAGACTTTGTAATCGCAGATTCAACTATAGTATGCAATTGAACAATACTGGTGTCAGACGCCTGCTAATAACACTCGCACTAATAGTACTTGCTCGATAATAGTCGCTCAAATAGTAACCACCGTATAGTGATCCGAATAGAGAATAGCGGTCTGTATAGTAATAGAGGATAGACTAGAAATGAGGATCTGAATAGTAACAGAGGATAGAGCAAAAATAGCGATCAATCTAGACGTCACCCGACTTCCTATATATGTGTTTTCTCTATGGTCACGTGGTTTTACTTAATTCAATAATGGGATCGCCTGTGTTTGCTCACTGGCTATCTATGTTCAAACTGAAGTGTCGGCAGCGACACTTTATTCCTATGTAACAGTTAGTAATGTTATCTTGACGGTTATTGTGTTCACAGTAACGGCTATGATACTAGAGACTATTGATTAGAGATAATTGTGAATACGGGTGTGGTTGTTCGTTATCTTTTTACTAGTTATTTATTATTGATACTTAATTAGTTTTTATTTTGTGTTTATCTATTGTTATTATCTTGTGTTTACTTGTTCATTCGTAGTTTGTTAATTTCTTTCCTTATTCAGATTTTATTTTTTATTTTTTGGATGGTTGATCATTTTATTTGTTTAGTTAAAATTATTGATTTTTATAAAGTGGGTTATATTATCTGCGTTGTATATAGTGAATATATTTGCATTTTTATGGTGGTATTTTATAATGTATCCGTTTTTGCTTTTTTTTTTTGTTTTTTCGTTTTTTGTTTGTTTGTTTGAGTTTTGGGGGGGGGTTAGGTAACGTAGTAAAAGTTTTCCCGCATTTTTAGATGAGTTCTGATAATTTATTTAGTAATTTGTGTTGGTTTAGAAAAGTGATTATAGCTATTTTCTCTTCCAGGCAGAGATTACAGATTTTGGATTTGAGCTGATGCAGTTTTTCATTATTTTCCATGACATTTTTGGTGGAATTCGTTTTTTGTTTTTTTTAATGTCCCATATGTGTTTAGAAAGCATTGTGCTGTTCGCGTATTTACTATTTTAAATTTACGTGCGTAATTTTTTCTAGTCATTCAGTTACAGCTATGTATATTTTTCTTCGTTTTTCTGCTGATTCGCAGTGGATTGGTATATTATAGACCTTAAAACTTATATATTATACAATAGACCTTAATACTCATAATGCACCACTGACTAGCAAAAACAATTAGTCAAGCCAAAAGTAATGGCGCACTGTAGGCCACATATAAGATGATGCTACAATGGCATGTTTTTTTTTCTTTTTATAGAATTTCTAGAAAAAAAACCTATTGCATGCATAACTTTGGCTTATATAAGAAGCTCATCCGTCTTTAACCAATCCTCTCCAGATCGTGAATTCAAAATTTTCCTTCTTCTAGACTGGTAGCCAACGAAGGCTATAGGTTCCAATCATTGCATTTAGGAGAAGAGATGGACTCATACCTTTACCAAAGGTATTCGCGTTGGCCGTGCATCCGAGTTAAAATTATGGATAAACAGAAAAAAAAACGATCTGATGAAGCCAACAAAAACCTTGTCAGCCATATTGGCAACAGATCTTGATGAGTGAGACTTGAACTAAAAACAGAATAAAATATGAAATTTGAATATTTATTTATATTTATGAAAACTTCTGAGTCCATTGGGTCAGACATTTAAATGTGAATCGTGCCAAGGAATGTACGTATATGTATTGATATGAATCATAATTAAAATTATAATTTGGGGATACATGCGTTTGAGTAATTGTCACTACTTTTATTAAACTGTATAATTGACTGTGTGTGTTTGAGGGAGAGAGAGAGTATGTGCGCAAGAAATTGTGAGTTTCCTGATATACTTATGTGTACATATATCCAAATTTACGTGTGCACTCATATATATATATATATATATATATATATATATATATAATCGACTCTCCCGTCGCGTTCGACGTATGAGGGTCAGGCCGATAAGTCCCCAGGAAACCGACACCGGCACATGAGATTTGATTATAGTGGTGAAGGCCTTGTGCAGGACCAGCCACACTTTTTGGAGGGACGAATACAGAAACCTGGTGCACCGAATGCATGCCACAAGGTTCCCAAACGACCCTCCGCAGGTTTTGAATTCAGAGTTGTCCTTCTCCTAGACCAGTTGCCATCCAAGGCTATAGAACCCAGTCTGTCCTGCTATTTTACCCATAGCTGGAGGGAGATGAAGAGGATAGATACCTTTCCCAAGGGTATTAGTATTAGAAAAGTATCCTATCTGGGACTCATCAGCAGTGCGCATCCACTACCGAGAATCGAACCCGGACCGTTTCGATACAACTGTACCACGGGACTCGGTGACGAAGAAGACACAAACTAGACTCGATATAGCGTACCACTCACTCAGTGATACTCATCGAAGTATACGGATAACCTCGAAACAGTGACCCAAGAGCCACGACTGCTCTCTCTCTTTCTCTCTCTCTCTCTCTCTCTCTCTCTCTCTCTCTCTCTCTCTATATATATATATATATATATATATATATATATATATATATATATATATGTATATATATATATGCATATGTCTGTTTGGGCGCACACACGTGATTTTGTGTAAACATATGCCCGAACAGAGTTGTTGAAAAGTTTTCGGTTTTTGGTTGATTCGAATTCTAGTCGAGTTCATACGCGAATAGCTTTGGTAAAGGTATGAATCCGTCTCTTCTTCTAAATGCAATGATTGGAACCTATAGCATTGGTTGCCTACCAGTCTAGGAGAAAGATCGACCGAGGAGAAAGTACAAGACAAATTACGTTTGTTCATTTAGTTTGATTTTTGACGAGAGCATACCAGCCAACATCTTAGAATATATATATATATATATATATATATATATATATATACATATATATATATTGAGCACTTTTAATACGTTCAGTTTTAACAAACATTTTACTATTTGTGCTACTCTGGCATATATATATATATATATATATATATATATATATATATATATATATATATATATATATATAGTACAGGTAATCAATCCGTTGGTATATAATCCGGGTGGATCCTAGTAATATTAATTATTAAAACTGATCCACAGAGAGCTCGATGTTTTTATTTTAACAGAGCATATGTATTTATACAGCAAAAAAAAAATTACCTCAACATAGGTATAATCTATTTCAAATCTTTTTTTACGGCTATCATTAGCCTCTGATGATAGCTGTGTGAAGAACGGTTTGAAAAATATGTTGAGGTAATTTTTGTTTTTTGCTGTAAATATATATATATATATATATAGAGAGAGAGAGAGAGAGAAACAGAGAGAGAGAGATAGCAGTAGAGAGATAGAAAGAGACAGACAGACAGAGGATGGGAGGGTTTTAAAGTGAGAGACTGCAAGAAATGTAATCCAAAATATTATTATTTTTATAAAGATATTTTTTTACTAACCTTATGGTTATTTTACTTTATATTAGTTGCATCTGTCTACTAATTTGTGGCATCACATCGCAGACACCTGGCTCTCGGGTGGTAAGAGAACTGTAAACATAAACAATTCTAATTCTGCCTCTTCTTCCTGCAAAAAATAAAAGGATACTTATCACTTCTGCGATCACGCTAATATTAATGCATGGTGTTAATGTTGTCTATCGGTTCTTTCCATGTTTACTCCAATTGTCTAGATGAAAACCATAAAAAAAGAAGACGTAGAACCCAAACACTAACCTTTTAACGATATAATTTCGCTACAATAATGGTTTGTTTTTTGTTTTTTACTTAAAAACGTGGATTTGATAACTAAATCCACACTTGTCACTCCCTATATACGCTTGTATTTGATATCAGCACAAAACTTTTAAACAAATATCTCCATAAATGGAAAGTCATGAATAAAAACTTGTAATTATCTTGAAATAAAATAAACGATCAGTGTAACATGTTCAGTGACATGACTGTTGCAATTATATATTTGAAAAATGGTACACGCGGTCGAACGAGAAAAGAGCACGTAATCCGATAACGTGTTTTAAGTATACGTTAGGATCACTTGTTTTAAAAACTGAACGGCAAGTAGCTAGCAACAAAGATGGAATCGGTCAGTCACACCAGGATAGATGCGGTCGGATATAATCAAATATCTTTACATTCCGTGATTCTTTCTTTATCGATTTATATGTCCTATCCATTTCAGTTGTTCTGAAAGTCCTCAGGTGATATGATTTCTGTTATGTCGTACAGATCTTTGTTCTTGATAATGTAGTGATAGCCCACATGATTCAAAGAAGGAAGGCCTTACTCTCTCAAATCTATTTTAGTCATTGATCTGAGAAGGCGGTTGGATACAGCTGACAGTTTAGATATTTCTGAATAGATTTGGTGCCATGCATGACATTCATATGAATGTTTCGATTTGACGAGTCTATTCAAGGACATGACTCCATTTTTCTGGTTAATGCTTTGGTTTTGTAGTAATTTGCGGTGTAGGCAAAACTACCCCACGCACAACCTTTTCTATTAGGTTGGTGCAAAAATAATGACGTAATAATGCCGTTTTTTGACGTTAAAAAATACGTCAAAAAACGACATTATTACGGCATTATTTTTGCACCAACCTAATACGTTCAGTTTCCTTATTTACCCTACCTTATTCTTTATAAGCGATCCATACGCCGAGGTATGTGAAGTAATAAGTATTTACCAATTGCACATCCTGAATTTATGATTGATTCAATGAATGTGCCATCGCTGTTTTCATTCCTTTTCCAGATCATAGATTCTGTTTTGGAAAGGTTTATTTTGCGTCATATTTCTTGGAACACATGGGAAAGAATGATGATTTTATGCTCAACTTTGACTTGATTTTTATCCCAACTTTGAATACCTCCTCATCAGTACATTGGCTTCGGGAGGGAAAGCAGAATTGCTGTCTTCTATTATCAGATTCGTTTAAGGTCTTAAAATGTATGCTAATTGATCAGTGACCACCTATACACATCTGCCTTTATAAATGCACCGAGCATAGTATAGAAAAAAATTGAATAACCAGGGCTCTCGTTTCGTCTTTGTCGTACTCCTAATGATTTTTTTTACTGTTTCTCTATTAGAGTCTTTGCTAGACTTGTAAGATTTTGTGGACCGATAATAATCCTCTATTAGACTGATACATTCACAGCTTGGAGGGCGGTTTCTAATGGATACGAAAAAGGAGTTTCTATTAATGTGGTCATATGCTGCCATGAGGTCAACATAGCAGATATACAATTTCCTATTATAGAGGTACCAATTATCATTCGGCATGAACTTTAAGAGAACCAAACATTATAATTGCGATAATATTGAGAGAGGAAAAAACAAGCTAAATAACACAGAATGGAATAGAATTTGAAATATTAGAAATCCAAAAATAGAGGATCCTTTAGCGATATCATTTTCCTTGGTAGTAACGCCAGATGTCCAAGTCAATGAAGTCTTACTAGTAATAGAAAGTTTATGCATTTGCTAAAAAGAATCGATTTCTTTGAACTTAAATCGATGGGTGGATGGATACCAGCAAATTAGTAGTAAATCTAAAAAAGGGGACACAAATATAAAACCTGGATAGAGAAAATATAGAGGAAACCTGAGGAGAGAATACAAAGACAAAAATCTGAAATGAGGACGCAAAAAAGTAAACCTGAAAAGAGAATACAAAGAGTAAACATGAAGTGAAAACATATACAAAAACCTGAAAAAAAGAACACAACGACAAAATGAAAAGTGAACACAAAGAGAAAACAGGGACAGAGAACACGTAGAGGAAAACTTGAAAAGAGGACAAAATAGATAACCAGAAAAAAGAAAACTTGAAAGGAGAGCATATAGAAAAAACTGAAAAAAGGACATATATAGAGAAAACCTGAAACGGGAACAGAAAGAAAAATCTTTAAAAATGGACGCAAACAGAAAACCTGTAAAGAGAACATATAGTGAGAAAACGAAAAGGGGACAAAGCGTAAACCTGAAAAGGGACCACATAGCAGGAAAAGGAAAGGGAATATTTCGAGAAAGTCTGGAAAATATAGAAAAATGTAATTGCAGACTCTGAAACCGCATTTCACCACTTTCATAAAATACACTAATCAAAACACTATTTTTCTACTAATTAAATTTACAACTTTGATGAACCCAGTCTATTTTATCGTACTATGCTACATGGGTCATTGGTTTACACAAAAGAATATTTGATTGCTTCAAAAAACTTACAGATCATGAAAATATTAAGATGGAAATGTCTAGATCTGATAGGGGGAAATAATTGGTGATTGGCTAAGCAGTGATATTTAAAAACATTTCAAAAGTTTCATAGACCATCACTTCCTGTCTAATTAAAAAGGGGAAATAGCAATCATTTTGGTAGTCTGACTGCTTACTGGAATAATGAACAAGGAAGAAATACAAGAAAAATTGTTTTGCTCGGTGATAATTGTTTCAGCACACGTACACTTAAATCACTTGACTAACGTTCAAATACAAATTTGCCCGTCTATATTTCTGAGATGAGGTATTATGTACACTATTTACATTATTCGGATTATTGTCCTCATCTTGGTCACCATATGTATTACAACGTTTCGGGCGTTGTACGCTCCGACCGTCTTCAGGTGGTTGGAATGTTGAACTGAACCCTTTATTTCGCTCACTGGAGTAGACTGTTCTAGTTCCATGTGCCATGTTTAATGAATGTCAGTTATCAGTTATCTCCTGTTAATTCCTCTGGTAAAAACGTGCAATGATAACAGCAAAAATTGCAATATAAGCACCGGTAAAAAAAAATTGTTGCTGATGACATTAGGTTTATAATACCCAGAAATGCCATGTTTAATGTTTAGGGGAACCTGGGAACAGGTTAAAATCATAGACAAAGAACACCATTGGAAAATTCATAAACTTAAGGAATCAGCACACATGCTAGGCCATAAAAATCTTCTGAGCCTTCCAAGCATAGAAATGAATACAATATGGGAACCAGTAATAAGGAGTGCCAGAGAAAAGCGATAATAACAACAAAAATTGCAATATGAGCTCTGGTAAAAACAAGATTTGATAACAGCAAAAATTGCAATATGAGTACTGGTAAAAAATGGTTGCTGATGACACTAGGTTTATAATACCCAGAAATTCATACACAGATGCCCTCAATGTGTTAGTTAGATCCAGTGGAAGGTCCCAAAGACTGTGAGTTCAATACCCGGTTAAGGCTGCGGAGAACTTTCAGAGGGAAATTAAGAGGAGATAACTGACATCCATTAAACATGGCACGTGAAACTAGAACAGTCTACACCAGTGAGCGAAATAAAGGGTTCAGTTCAACATTCCAATCACCTGAAGAAGACCGGAGCGTACAACGCCCGAAACGTTGTAATAAATATGGCGATAAAGATGGGGACAATTGTCCGAATAATGTAAATAGAGTACAATTTTGCCCATCTAACACGACGTCCTTAATTCGACCAATGAATGTGGGTAACGTCGAAAATCGTGAATAAAGTTAGTAGAGGAGCTTGAAAATATTAATGTCTAAGGCTATGTAATTCCTAGAGGAAATGCTGGCAAGCAGTCCAGAACAAAAACAGTCAGAAGTGTTTCGCTCCTAGTCCGTTTAAAGATTCGGACAGCATTTATCACCCAGCAGCTATTGACATCCAAGCTAAGTCTTTTTGGGGGCGGCAGAGAGTTGCCAATGCTGTAGAATTTCTCAAGATGATGGGAAATCGTAGCACGACAAAGAAAAAGGAAAGGATATTGTTAAACAAATTATTTCAAAAATTAAAATTGACAGTGTGGTGCATAATACTGGAAACACTGACATATGCATAATGCCAAATCAGAATGCAGAAAATGCCTTACTTATGTAAACATTATTTAATATAATTATGCAATGAAAACATCTCCAAATGCATTATGGGTTATGATAATGAATTTGTTAATTCCTTATGCATTAATTAATAATTCCAAAAATGCATAAACCGTTTGATATAATAATGTTATAACTTTTTTTTCTGATATTCCTCAACAAACTACAGCTCTAATTAATTAGAAAAAAATGATGTAAAAATGATGCTATTTTCACTTTCCTTTGAAAATAAGTAGATGCGTTCTTTTTAGTTTAATGAGACGATTAACCCAAAGCAGGCGAGAAGGTATAAAACTAGTGTTTTGCTTGAAAACACAAGTTTGTATTTATTAATTAGATCTTACTTAACAAGTACATTATTAATCGGTTATCATAAGCTAATAATTTAAATTTTCTTTGTAATGCAGAAAATACTACTTCACGGGCGTAGTTTCATTAATATCTTTTCATAGAAAATTATTTGCTATATGCGATTACTCAGGCCCAAGCTATATTAAGCGGAAAGTGTATGATTGAGGAATTGGATTGAGGAATCGCAGAGCCGAGTTCGAATTCCAGTCGAATCCATTACATTCACTTACGTGCTAATACCCTTGGGAAAGGTATGAATACTCTTCCTCTCCCTCCAGCTATGGGTAAAATAGCAGGACAGACTGGGTTCTATAGCCTTGGATGGCCACTGGTCTAGGAGAAGGACAACTCTGAATTCAAAACCTGCGGAGGGTCGTTTGGGAACCTTGTGGAATTCGGTGCACCAGGTCTCTGTATTCGTCCCTTCAAAAAGTGTGGCTGGTCCTGCACGAGGCCTTCACCACTATAATAAAATCTCATGTGCCTGTGTCGGGCTGTCGGTTTCCTGGAAATTGATCTTCTTGACCCTCATACGTCGAATCTCGACGGGGGAGTCGATTATATATATATATATATATATATATATATATATATATATATATATATAAGATACCTTTACAGATTCGTGATGCCTAAGGTTTATAATGAATTTTCAAAAATGGAAACTATATTGAGCCTTTTATTTTAGTTTTAATTTCAAGCTAATAGATGAAATTTAATATTTCTAATAAGCAAAATACTTTGCTGCATTTCAAAACTGATTTTAATTAATTGAAACGAGTTTTCGCTATTTTTTTTTAATTTTAGCGCCATTTGTAGCCACTTATCAGAATGTAATTCTCTTTATTAAAAAAAAATCTTCCAAAAATAAAATATACTTTTTTGAAACTTTATCTGAGGAATATTTCTAATTTAAAGTATAATTAATCTGATTTGAAACAACTATTATTTACTTTAAATTTAAAATTTCGCAGAAATGCGTTTTTTTAGTATCTTTATTTAATCCGTTAAGTTTTTAACAGTTTGATGACAGATTGATGTTTATGTAATGTTGTTCTACGGTGGCTTTATGCGTAAAACAATAAGTGAGGAATATAACGTGGACGCCTTTTATACATACACACATACACACACACACACACATATATATATATATATATATATATATATATATATATATATAGGAATATAACGTGGATGAATATAACACACACACACACACACACACACACACACACATATATATATATATATATATATATATATATATAAGTGAGGAATATAACGTGGATGCCTTTTACACACACACACACACACACACACACACACATATATATATATATATATAAGTGAGGAATATAACGCGGATGCCTTTTACACACACACACACACACACACATATATATATATATATATATATATATATATATATATATATATATATATATATATATATATATATATATAAGGAGGAATATAACGTGGATGCCTTTAAGTAATCTTTAAAATTTAGGAAAATATTCCCCATATTCTAATATTTTATTTAATTTTAGATATTTTGGATTTAAATTTACTATAGTTATCGATCTTATGTCATGCATGGACAACCGTATCTACAAAATCGGCACATATATACTTGGCACCTCGAGGTGGTGTAATGGTTAGCAAGCTTGTTTTGCTCGAACAATTGCGACTGAGTAGTGTGTTCGTTCCTCGCTGGGTGCTACATACTTTCGGCCTTGTGCCACATCTGAGCTACGCCTGGAAAATCAATATATACGCTTAATAAAATCTTTTAAAAATATTAGTGTTTGATGATTGGTACTAAGCTTTACAATTTATGACTAGTGAATATAGTTTTTACTTAATAATATTATCTAAAAGGGCGAAATTAATATAAAATTTTAAAGGATTTATTATTTTAATTAAATTGATTTTTACGTGAAAACAATTTTTCTAAAAAATATTCATTCAATGAAAAATAGTGTCCTTAATAAATCTTATTTATAAAAGCAATTAAAAAGCTCGACAAATGTTTGACAAAACAAAATGATGTTTTGAATTTGCCAAGGAATCCTACATTTAATTAATATGAGGGGGCTGAAATTTTAGTAAGTGGGACTTAACAGATGTAGAAGAAAATATTCTTACTAATGTTTGTAAATGAGTCCTGAAAATTTCATTAAAATCCAACAATTAATTCATTTTTGCAAGAATTTCCAAATCAGTATTTTTTACCGCAAAAAGATACTAAATTTCCTAATAGTAGTTTTGGCTCCACCGCTGACGTAAGAAAAATAAGATTTTTTTTCCAAATTTTCGAACGTGCTAGAAATGATTAAGAAATTTAATAAAATAATCAAAACTACTTTGGTCTTTCCTCTTAACAGCGATAAAACTTTATGTTTGGACCTTTCTTTCATCATGATGGGGTCTTTTTTCAGTGAATTGGAGGTACCCAATATATATATATGTGTGTGTGTGTGTGTGTGTGTGTGTGTGTGTGTGTGTGTGATATGAAATAGAGTATATCTGTAAATGAATAATATGAATTTAAAAAAAAAACGGAAAACTTATCCGATGCGTTTTCACATGTGTTGGACTTTATCAAATGAAATTCAATGATTTTATTTTGTAACTACTTTCTAAATACAAGGGCAATTTTTTTTATATAGATTTTTAAGAAAGCTAATAAATCGTCACGTGATTAGAGTTAAAAATCTCGACAAGATATGGAGGGAGCCAGGCGACACAATAAACGAAATGAATTCCAATGCGCTTAAATCTATATCGAATCATAATTATTAAACTCGAATATTATCCAGTGAAATATTCAGGTCAAAGTTATGGTACCTCATATACCCATCCACAGATAGATAGATAGATAGATAGATAGATAGATAGATAGATAGATAGATAGATAGATAGATAGATAGATTCAAGACTAAATGTTAATTTTGGACACGTCAATAAAATTAATCTACCGTACATTTATTCAGAGACCATCGTTTCGTCTTAATTATCACCTGCTACTTGTCTAAGCATGGACGAATATTCACTATCGTCAACGCTCGTGCTAAAAAGACACGAACAAACAGACAGGAAAAATAGCGAAACCTTTCCCCTAGCAGCCGCATTTTGAATCAAAATGAACACCGCTTGTCACTATTCCCTTAATGCATCTATTGCCTTTCACCTGTTGCGTTTCGTATTGAAGCCAGGCTCAATTATGAATGTAGTTATATCGATTGCAGAACGAGCAACGACATCAACTGCAACAATCATCGTTGCAATGTGGATGCGACGCGAGAGATCATGAAAATAATGCCAGATCGATTTGAACCGTTAAGAAGCTGAATAAACGCGACTGTCTAGATATTAGGTAAACTAAAATGGTCGCTCGGTTTAATAACTATATAAAAGGCAATATCTCGTTGAATATTAGTTTAGACATTAACTTGATTGAAAACCAGATTTGCCTTTTCAAGTGCACTATTTTCCGTCAACTTTGATTTAAATTCATAATTTCTGTCTGAAATTATTTATATTCGGATTATTGCCCTTATCTTCATCAGGTGTATGTCAAACCGAGTAACCGACAAGGAATTTCGAACTGATTATTGTAGTGATTTTACTGCCCACACATAGCCGTGAAAAACTTCTTCTAGCCCCCCTCGGCACATCCCCGTTCTCAAGCGCCGAGTAATGACCCCATATGTCGATAATATCTTTATATTGGTTAAGAATATAGATGAAATATAGCAACTTCAAACACAATTCCAAAATAATTCTGTCCTTAAATTTACATAGGAATTTAATAAAAATAATGAATTCATTTTCTAGATATCGTGATAAACACTAATAATAAAAAATTCACTATCTTCCCATATACAAAAAAAACTACTAGCATAAATTTATTCTCTCCTAATTATGAGAGTGAATGTCCAAATTACTATAAAGTAGAAAGAATTAAAAAAAACTAATAACCGTGCCAAAAATAATTCATCCACAAAACAGATTTTCTACAGTGAACTAAAAAATATAAAACAATCTCTTATTATTAATAACTTCCCCATTTTTTTTTAAGCTTTTCACCCCAAGCAATGTGGGAGTGCCACGAGCACGCAAGGGGTTACAGAGAGTGGGAGCAAGTAAAGAGGCGTGAAAAAGGAAAGGATGAAGAGAAGGACGGGGAATTAGATCAAGGCATCTGGAGATGTCGATTGACATTGCATTTGAATAGTTGGAGATTATAGCTACCAGGGAATCAAGCGAGAGGAAATGAGTTCCACAGACAGGGGGTAAGAGACATGAAGCTATTGGACTAGAAGAGGCAGCTAGAGTTAACCGTTTCGACAGTGAAAGAGTAGAACTGAGATGCCGACCTTTAAATTCATGCAGTTTGGGAACCAGCTAAATATCTCGTCGGAGCAGTTACCATGAAAGTATTTGTAGAAAAAAGACAGAGGGAAGCGACAGCACGTCTGTGTGTGTGTGTGAGAGAGAGAGAGAGAGAGAGAGAGAGCGGCTAAACGAGATGCCAGATTAGGGCCAATCGCATTGCATATCCGACTCTGGATTTTGTCGAAGGCCTTAAGACGATAAACAAATAAAATGTTCTATTAGAAATTTCAATATAAAGCAAATAAAATATACTTCTACAATTAAACCTAAACATATTAATCTTTTACATCGCAATCAAATACATTATAATTATAAACAGAACGAAAATATCCTAAAGAAACTAATAAATACTAATATATCTACCACAGATCCTAGTACAAAAAAGAAAAAATAATTATATACTATACTAATTTCAATATATCCAGTTTAATCCACCGTAATGACTCTTCCGCAACAACTATTATGTTGCAGAAAACCGGCATTGAATATAAATTTAAATGCCCTTTGGGAGATTGTATTTCCAACAGAAAAAATAATATATATGTTGGACATACCACTACTACGTTGTCTCAAAAGCTGGGTTCAATGATGCATCTAGCATCTCTCAACATTTATAACAGCATGCGTGTCCACATTCCCAATTTTAGGAAAATTCTTGTTGAAAATACATCTATACTTTTTCATGAAAATAATAAACATAAACAGAAATTTTTTGAATTAAGAAATTGAAACCAACTCTTAATAGAATTAATTATAAATACTGAACAAATTTTCTGAAATGTTTGCAGTACATAGTTTAAAATATTTAGCTTTTTTCTAGTAGTTTTAATTTTTTTTTTTTTTTTTTTTAAAAATTGAGATATTACAATAACTTAGTTACTTCCCTTGACGTTTTTTCACTTCACACGTAAAAAATTAATTTTCAGATGAACACAACAATTTCATGTCATAGAAAAAGGAAAACCATGGTGACGACATTGTGCTAATGTCGAAAGTACTCAGAATAAAATGAATATGCATGAACATGGAAATTTTCTTTCTTCCTTTAAGAAGGATACTAAGAAACTTGTCCGTAATTATGTGAGGATCCTAATAAAATTAAGTAGACAAAACTTGTCTAAATTATTCATTATGTCTTTTTATATATATATATATATGTGTGTGTGTGTGTGTGTGTGCAGGTACAGATAGAATTGAGTTGACTGTCTTGCCAAAAAGTTATAAACAGGGTTTTTTCAAGTTATTTGTGCATAAAAAAAAAGTTATTTCCAAAATCCAAACTATCCGAAAAAAAAGAAACATTGGTATTATCTTTTTTACTGCTTCGTTCCCAAATTGGAATTCCATAAATTTCAAAGATTTTTGTCCTACTCAGAATGCAGGTCCAGTGGCGGACAAATTCATTCCTACCTTCTGATACTCTCTAGGAATATAATCGAAAAATCTCAAAATATTTCCAAAGCGCCATATGCTAAAGTTCAACTCGGTAAACCCTAAAACTATATTTGTTGGATTACTGCCCCCTGGTGATAGTCACAGGCGGCGAGATTTGGGATCACTGACCCCTGATGATAATTACAGTAGAATCCATCTCTTTCTCGATTACTTTTCATAGCGAAAAGACATTCTTTTTACTCCCACGAGAATGTAAATACTTCAGCTACAAACATTGAAATGTTACTTTTGTACCATGATCTATCAATATATTTGCTCAAATTCTCTTTCTTACTTTTCTTTTGGACTTACACTAGCCAGGAGCATAAAAATCTCATCAAAAGTGTTGAAGCCCATAACATATTCGAAATCGCGTCTAAAAATATATTTGAAATACATACTAGCATTGTACACGCCACAATAAAGGTATTATTTAAGTATGGATTAATGCATCGGTGAGTTCTGCTTCAGATAAAACTGCTGCTCCATTGAACATACGTTTGTGATCAAAGTGTATTATCTGTTCTCAAATAATCATGTTAATAAACTAATTTTCATCACGTTTTGCTTAAAGTTTTTTTTTATATTAAAATGACATTTTCCTTGACTGCTTCGGACACGATATTTTCCGATCACCACATTTTGTCTGCTTCGTACTGTCTTTCTTCCGGTGTATTTGGTATTTACTTCGATTTTTCTTTTCTTTCTAATATAATTTATATCTTTTCAGTTACATTATCGTAACAAATTGAAAGCACTCAAAGAGCTGGGGAATTGGATTTATATAACACCTGAAAGTTTTCCATGAAAATACCCGCTGAATATCAGAGGAAGGTCAGGGAAAGTACCGGATGAAAATCTATGTTGAAAAACGATAGGGATTACTAGTCGGAATAAGTCTTATCCGTAACGTCTCAGACGTACAGGAAATATGGATACTAGATGTCTTGTCTGTCTGGCACCAAATATGCGACGGTTGGCTGAAAATTTCATAGGCTATAAAATTTTCATGCTTGTATATCTAAATTACAATTGTTGGAAATGCTCGCTGAAAAATCAAAACATTTTAGAGAATTATTGAAAATTTTGAATGAAATACGAACTCTGTCTGGAAAGTAACGGGACTGGTGTCACAAGCAATTTATTTCCATTCCAAACAACAAACCACATGGTGTCCCCTTCAAAGTAATCCTCCCTCGAGTCTATTACACTTTTCTATCTTTCTCTTACACGCTTCTATGCACTGCCAGAACGAATTCTTCTGAGATGCGCCTCAGCTCCGTCGTTACAGGCTTCTTGATGTGTTCCACGTCAAAATGTGTTTCATTGATGATCCCCTTGAGCTTGGGGAAAAGAAAATTTCACACGGAAGAAGATCATGTGAACAGAGAACAGCAGCAATTTTTTTAGGCCAGGATCTAGTGAATCATCAGGGCATTGTGAGGAGGTTCATTGTCGTGGCGTAGCAGCCACGATTTGTCTTGCCACAACCTTCGTCTCTTCTCGTCCACTGAGCAAAGCAAATGCTAAGTTGTAAACTTACATATTCCCAAGGTATCATGTTAGATAACACAGTTCGCCCGTTGCACCCTTTCCAATTTATCAGCTGAAATAAAAAAAAATATAAGAACTTTAAGCAAAATTCTCAAAATAAAGTAGAAAAACGAACTTGTCAATTTAAACTAACCTCACAAGGATAGGGGTTAAATGCCGATTAGCTAAAACTGCAGATCCCCAACGAAACATTAAGAAGCCTCTTTTTATTCCAACTAAGCTGCTTATCGTCATAAATGAAATAGAATTATTTCATTAATCGCCATTATATTCAGTGCGTCAAATTAGACTTGTTTTGTACAAGATTACTGAACCTGGGCATTATTCATTGATGACTCTAACTTTAAATAGGGCATCCGCGCAACGCAGATGCCTGGGCAAAGTTAATAACGGCTAGGACACCTTTCAATACCGATGATTAATATCTTGAAAACAAATTAACAAGGCTGGCTTCAAGATGGCAAAAGGTAGTAATTCATTCAAGGCGTTTCCTTTCTATTAATTTGCAAAAGAACCAGTTTGGAATCAGGGATGAAAACGTAAATTTTGTAATTGTAAATTTTAGTGCCCCAAAAACGCAATTGCTATTTTTAGTCATCATAGAGAACTATTTTTACCTACCATCAGAAGGGTATGCAATGTTATCGGTCCTAACCTTACATCTCAACTTCAGTCACTTTCCACCACTTCCTTCTGCCTTCCTATAAATATTTTATGGTAATTATTTTTCCCGCGCTAATTTTGCAGAATCGAGCTGAACAATGAAGTATTTTTCATGTGATTATTGCAATGAAACAAATTCTGAGCTTTATAACTTTTGTTTAACTTTGTTTACTTGTGATGATAATAAACTACATCCAGCAGCAAGGCCTATGATAAAGAGGTTTTGAAGA